AGAGATACAATTTACAAAGCGCTTAAAAAAAAATCTATCTCATAAGGACATTTTTTAAAGTGAATGCAGCTTTTAAATAATTTTATAATATTTTAACAACTTAAATGTAAAAATCTATTATAATTAAAAAATAAAAATAATTGTGTAAAAAATTCATTTTTTCATCAAAAAAATATTTTTGCTTTCAGAAAATATTGTCCATATTCATAAAAACAAATAAAAAAAATTTGAGGTTAAATAGTATTTTTTGTTTATTGAGTTTTGTATGTTATAATTCAATTAATTGATTTTCAGGTAGAGGGGGTCCAATTAAAAAAAAAAATCAAAACATGCTTTGAACGCCCTCAAAGCCTTGTGCTTTTTACTAATATAATCAAAACTGAACGCAACTGAATTTCTAGAGAGTTTTCATAAAATTAGTTAGAGGTACCTAGTATAAGAGACTAACAGTCTTAAAATAACTCTAATAACCCTCTGGAGAGTGAAAGGGATTTCCTTTATAGCTTTCCAGATGGTCTCATTTAAATGCATTGTAATCTCATCAATCCAATCAGATAGGATCTACTACAATAGCAAACATAAAATCTAGTCAACAAAGAAAAAACAGATTCCCTTCTTTTTTACCTTGACCGACTACCACACAACTGTTTAAATTCCATCGCTTTCCTCCTTCACATTAAGCTTCTTGGTGAATACAAGTTACAACAGTAGAAATTTCTGTCATCATCAGAGTTAAAAAATTTCCTGAAACAAAAATCTAGTTGAGAAATATATACTTAGTTTTTGTTACAAGGATCTGTGACAGTTTCTCTCAGTATGTCCTTCTTTATCTTTTGCTGTAACTAATATCTCCATTTTTTAATCAATTTTTGTGAGTATTCCAACTTGTAAATTATTACATTACCCTTGTCTGCTGGCAGTATGTTCTCTATTGCTCTGCAGAGTTTTCCCTCCCCTCTCTTGTAAGTCTTAGTTTTCTCCACTCCCTGCCTTACTTTCCACCCAAACTTGTCAGCCTTCAGGGTTCGACAATTGGGCCTATGATGTCTAAGTATGTCACTTACTTGATTGTGGAAGCAAATTTGAAACTTTTGTTCAGCACTGCTTCCTCAGAAGTACTCAACTACCATTTGCTGCTGTTGACAACTACTTTCACAAGCTGATGGTGGACATTGTAACTCATACCATGATCTTTCAACTATTTAATTAATGACTTACGTTAATTTTTGGCACAAGGTCGAAAGGGAAGTAGGTGAGGTTGGTCTTCACTAGCTATCCTATCAGAGTCATGACCCATTCACTCATTTCAGTTACTCATTCACTACAAGAACTCATCCATCGCTATTCAATGCAACATATACCACAATACTACATACTCACAGGGATCCATGATCTTTCAACTATTGTAGTTTCAGTATTTCATGTGCCTTGACTGTTTTAAATTCATGATGAATTTTATTTTTATCCACTTCCAATATTATTTGGTATAGGTACCTCCACGAAATCGCTAAAAAAAGAGCATAGCTTGATGAAAAAGACGCCAACCTTGCCAAAAACAAAATTTTATTGTCTAAATGCTTATATTATTATTAAGAGGAAAGACCAAAGTTTTTTTTAAGTATTTTTTAAAATTTTTCCTTCTTTTTAGAACATTCTAAATTTCGATTAAAAAAACCTTGTTTCTATTTGTATCAGCAGAACTAGTAAATAACAGACAATTTTTGGCACGTTTTTTGGGTATGACACACATTAATTTGAAAAATCGTGCAAAAATAGAAATAATTGTTGGATGTTAATGAAACTTTCAGGCACTATTCACAGATGATCGAAATTATTATAAATATGTTTTTTTTTATTAAAGTCATGGCAGAAATATTTTTTTTAAATATTTATTACCCCCCCATAATTAATTTTATGAAAACGCTAGAAATTTGATCGCATCAGGTTTAGTGATTACAATAATTAAAAGCACAGGGCTTTGAGGAATGCAAAACATGTTTTCTTTTGTTTTTAATTGGGACCACACACACACACCTGAAAATCAGCTCTGAATTGTAACATACAAAACTCAATAAAACAAAGATATTATTTAATTTCAAATGCTTTTATTTGCTTTTAGGTGTTTTTATGAATATGGACAATATTTTCTGAAAGCAAAAAAAAATTTTTGATGAAAAATGAATTTTTTAATACAATTATTTGTTATTTCTTTAATTATAATAGATTTTACATTTAAGTTGTTAAAATATTATAAAATTAGTTAAAAAGCCGCATCGGCTTTCCTAAGTGTCCTTATGAGATAGATCTTTTTTAGCGCGTTGTAAATTGTATCATTTTGACTAATCAGAAGATCCCAGTAATTAAGAAATGTAATTTTGTGCTTATAACCGGGCTGTAATTATAAAATACGGAAGACCAACCAGAATATAATTAAGTTAAATGTTATTTGAGTTAAGCATTGTTCTCCGCTGTTAAGGTCTTTACTTTTGCAAAACACGTGTGGAGAAGTTAATTTGATTTTTCAATTTCAACTGAGAAGGGTACCTACAAGTATCAGTATCATCTTATGAAATTTATATGATCTTATTTTTATATTAATCTCAGTTATGTCATTTTTCCATAAATGAAATATCAAAATCAATAATAAAATGAATACAAATAACAGTAAAATGTAATAAATGTATATAAAATTATAGTATTTTATGTACAGTTCTGATAAAATTTCATAAGAAAGGTACCTATAAATTAATTAGAAATATGAAATTTAATCTCACTCTTAACAGTCTTATTTTAATTTCTTTAGAATATATTTTCCAAATGCTTTTATTTGCTTTTATGGATATGGACAATGTTTTCTGAAATCAAAAAAATTTTTCGATGAAAAATGAATTTTTAATACAATTATTTGTTATTTTTTTTTAATTATAATAGGTTTTTACATTTAAGTTGTTAAAATATTATAAAATTAGTTAAAAGCTCTTGGTTCAGTTTCCTACATGAACAAGAACCATCATTTTTTTAGCGCTTTGTACTGTATCACTTTTCACAGATATTGAATATCCCCCTAATAAAAAAATGGAATTTTGTGTTCCCCATGGAAAAATGAGAAAATGGTTCTGTTAAAAATTCCAAGAACGTATGTGTTGTAAGTAATTCCCACAAACTGCTTCTCTGTTTGAACGTAATGGACTGATTGCAAAAATTCTTTATAAAAAAGCACATGCTGAGAATTTTTTCTTTTTTGGTAGGTTTTTTACATTAAAAAAGTCCTGAACTGTATCCTGTCTGTCAAACTTTCTGCATTAGCAGAGACACCCGGACAATTTTAAAAGTACCATTTATTTTATTTACAACCATTACAATTTCAATTTTTTATATTTTTTTACAGTTTTCAGGCTGAAGACCCACTTTAACTTCAATTTTATGTGCCACATTCAATTTCAAACAAACTGTTTTAAGTGGAGATAGTGTTGTTGTCATCACCCTTTTTTTAAGGTGTTAAAAACAAAAAATATTTTTGAGCCATTGTTTAAACTTTTTGCAGATTAAAAAAACTTGTTTTTTCAACGGTGATGACCCACCAAGTTTTTTCTGTAAAAGCTGGCCTTTGACCCAGCAATGTTTAAAGTTTTTTTTTCATTTCAACACTGTTTGATTTATTTATTTTTAAAATTCTGGGCTTTAAAAAAAATATTTTGGTCCAGTTTCAGGAAAAAGCAACGGACGACTATTTTTATTTTTTTTCCCCAGTTTTTTTTTAAAATCATTTACAGTACAGCCAATTTCAAAAGAGAAATAAAAGGTTTTTTTTACTTTTTAGTTTAATACCCTCCCTCGTTTTTATTTAATTAGTTTCAGTTGAATATTTTGTTCTTTATGATGACTAAAGTATTTTTAACATTTTTTTTTTAGTTCAAATTGGCTGCAAACCTTTATTTTTTGATTTGGTTTGACTATTTTTAAACCAGACTTTTTTTTCATTTTTTTTCTTTGAGCGATATTTGAATTTATTTTTTGACCAAAAAAAGAGGAGTTTACTTTTACTGTTTTATTTTATTTATAATTTGGGTGCCATTTAGATTTTTTTAAAAAGTATGGTACCTGACTATTTAATTTAAAAAAACTTTCTTTTCAGTTGATCTGGTTTGTTGTTTTTTTTTTTTTTACTTAATTTTAATTTCCCGTTTATTTATTTAATAGCCTTTGTTTTAAAAAACGTTACGCCAATTTTTTCCTTTTTGATAATTTTTAATTTCCTAGCTGTGATCCAGGCTTTCCTTTAGATTTGTTTATCATTTATCATTTTTAGAATATTGTTTTTCGATTTATCCAAACTCCTTTTTATTTTGGACAAAAAAATTTCTTAGAAGAAAAGGTCCAAAAGATTTCAAAATATACTAAATAATCAGATGAAAAACGTATTTTTGATTTTTGGAAGAATTTTTAAAAAATTTAAAAACAAAATGCAAAATTTAAAATAAAATGACCGAAGCTTTTTTTAGGATGTCGCTGAAAAAAAAGAAAAAGAAACCAAAAACAAGTCTTTAACCAAAATTTTGGACATGGTAAATAATGAGGCAAAAATTTTAAAAATAATCAAAAAAATATGATGGTAAGTCCCCCCAAATAATGATATATATACTTACAGATAAATTTTTTTTCAAAGGCTAATTTAAGGCCATTCTTGTAAATAAAGATGGGCTTTTATTGATTTTCAAGAGCTCAAAACTTCTCAAAGAGAATATTTATGTTTTATCGTTGGACAAGTGATCTGGTAGATAGACGTTCCCACATTCTGGTCTGTATCTAAAATCACAATTTTCTCCCTCGTTCCAGCAAACCCTGGTGTTGCCATTAGTTATAAATAAAAGACATTCATTTTTTTGTGGGAATTTCTAAGCTTCAAATGCCAAACAAGAATTAACGAGAAATGACAAAAAAAATTGATTAAATAAAGACCTTATTCTACAAACACAAATGAGGGTCAACAAAGTCAGACATCATTTCGCTGAGGTCCCTGACACACGTTGTTTCTTTGAGGTTTGCACCTGGCTGCATTTTTTGTTCTGTTTGGCCTCATCCCAACACCGGTCTCTCTCCACAACATGAAACTGACTGGGATGGACTAGATAGATTATGATAGATCTAAAAAGACAAGTCCATCCCCATAGATTGGATTTAGATAGATAGATAAATAGATAGTCAGATAGATCTAAAAAAACTGAGATAGATAGATAGATAGAAAGGTCAAAAAGTTCCTCCTCCTGATAGATAGATAGATAGCCCCTGGAGTTCTGAGATAGATAGATAGATCTAAAAAACTGAGATAGATAGATAGTCAAAAAACTGAGATAGATAGATAGATAGATAGATAGATAGATAGATAGATAGATTGGGAAAATCCCTCGAGATAGATAGATAGATAGATTACTGCTAAAAAGACGCCTTCCATAAGTGTAGATATCAAAAGGAAGGTGAAAATATTGTTGAATTTAACTTAAAAGGGTTGATCCAGGAATACTCTTCGTTTAGATCATGAAGGTGATAAAAAATTTTAAAATGTATTCCCTCTACCAGTTCATTAAAAGCAAAACCATATGTTTTATAAAATGTTTCTATTTGTAAAATTTTCTGTACATTTTAAAATGGAGGCAAAGCATCTCAGGAGAATGTTTAAAATCCACGAAAAAACTGAGGTCCCTTATTCTCTGCCCAGTAAAAACCCCTTTTTCTTAACCAAAAATTATTTACCAAAATATATTATTATTAATATTGATTAAACTGTTGTTTGTGTGTTATCATTCAACAAAACCTTCCCCCAGTTAAAACTATGGCTCCGGCATGACAATTGTCTACCACCCCCATTGATAGTACTTTTCTTAGTATATGGGATATTCTCAAAATGAAAGATCTTCTAGAAGCCCTGATTCACATGCAGCTATTGGGACAAGAAAAAAAAAATTGTCCACCATTTCTCCCAGGGGCCCAGTGCTCCGATTATTATTGGTACAGTCTCAAAGGCATTTCCCTGTCCTGTTAATCTTTATCCTTAAAAAGTTTTATGGAAATTTCGCAGATATGTTTCATGAAGGTATTTCCTCAAAAATGGTCCTGCTTCTGCCAAAAAGAATACACCATCATAAGAACTGGTCTTTTACGATAATATTTTAGGGGTCTGATAGAGGAGGCCCAGTCCGTTTGAAAATTGGTGCCCCAGAGGATAGTTACCGTTATTTTGGGTAACCTTATGGACGAAGACAAAGCAAGACGTTTTGAAGTGGGTCCCATGATTTCTTGTTCAAATAGTGATTTGTGATGAGGGCTCGTAAATTAATGAATCCTTTGGACATTTTCGAAAACCAAAATCTCAACAGAAGATTATGGTGAAAGTGAGATGGCGTCCGGATTAGTGTTGTTATCCTTTGTTTGGTGTCCTCACCCCAGCCATCCCTGGACAACCCTAATTATACTTTAACAATGGTCTCTGGTTAGCTAGTTTAAATGTCCATTTTTGAGGTCCAAAATCGACGAGGTCCAGGCTCTCCTCATGACAATATTCGCCCTCAGGGTGTCAGGATGTTGTGTGCAAGAGACCTGGTTTTTATTCTCATGACCATTAGGACATACTGTCTAATCCCCAGATTTTGCCCTTGATTCAGCAAAGCATTTTGATGGTCGTTTAAAGGGGTGTCTCATTCCGTTCCAAAGAAGATGCAGAAACTGCATGTCAAATATTTCTCGGCATTCAAACGTTTACATCTTTGCTTTTGGATGTTACCAAAAAGGATAACTACATCTCATTGGGGTATATGGGTCCAATATCCAGGCTGAGGGGCCTGCTTTGTTTCGGCAGATCGGGCCGTTTATGACGACATCATGTCAGGTAGTTTTAGCGGGGATTGGAATGCCATCCTTGACCCCGACATAGATTGTATAGGGTCAAATTCAAATTCGGGTACTAACAACCCGGGCGTGAAACCATTTCGGGACTTTATTGTCGACGAGTTTGATCTTGTCGATAAATTCCGAATGAACACCCTCAGCGGGTAGTTTGGACTTGGACAAATAGTAGCAGCTCGGCTGTAGGACATGCGCTTTATCCTCGACCGAGTCCTAGTTAGGAGAGTCGATGTAGGGCTCTTAGGGTGTCCAAGCTTCCATTATATAGTTTATTCGGATCATAGGCTTGTCCGGGTCCGTGTAAACTTAGATAAGCCTAAGGTTAAAATGGCTGGTTACTGGAAATTTAACTGTTCATTATTTGGCGAGCAGGAATTCTGGACCAGCTGCTACTAATGATTCAGAGGGAACTGACGGGGGCGGTTGTGGGAAAATGCCTGGTGGGACAAATTAAAATCAAAATTCGAACGTTTGCTGCCGATTTTAGTCGTCGACTCAATCTAGATAGATTAGCGGCGCAAAACGCTTTAGAAGAAAAAGTTGATCGGGCAGTGAAATCCTGTGATAGTGGGGATATAGCCTTAGCTAAGGCAGAGTTGTCCTCCTTGCTTATCAAGAAGGATCAAGCTCTGGTAATTAGGGCTAGGTTAAAAAAATGTCTTCTGAGGCGACGAATATGGCCGCTGAATTGCGTGCAGAGGAAAATCGGAACGCATCACGGCGGCATATCGCGTGCGTCACATTGCCAGATAAGCGGACCATGACTACAAACGCGGGCATATGTGAGGCCTTTCAGGATTACTTTCAGGATCTTTTTTACCAGGGAGCCCGGTCTGAGCTTTGCTCAGTTCGACGCCTATTTAGCCAACTTTCCCTGCCTTGAGGCAGCTGAAGCGGCTGGGTGCGAGGGTCCCATTACAGAGTCGGAAATCTGGGAAGCGCTGAAACAGGTTGGCCTGGATAAATCTCCGGGATTAGATGGTCTTCCCTACGAAGTTTACTTGAGGTTGTCACCGTTTTTGTTCCTTTGCTGGAACTGATTTTCAACCACTGGATGAAGCAGGGGTCTATACCTCAACGCTTCACCAGGGGTGTGATCAAGTTGCTGCGTAAGGACAAAAACGGTGGGGATGGGTTAGGTAATTTTCGCCCTTTAACCATGTTAAATACAGAGTTAAAGATTTTGGCAAAGATCTTAGCCAACCGTTTGCAGCTTGTCCTGTCTAGTCTGATTGGCCCCGAACAGACTTGTGCTGTGAAGGGCAGGACTATTCAGGACAACCTTCATATGGTACGCTTGATCATAGAACAAGTCGACAGTGAAGCCGCGCTGATCAATTTAGATCAGTCCAAGGCCTTTGATAGGGTTGACCATCGATTTCTGGAGGCTGTCCTTTCGGCGGCCGGTTTCGAGCCGAACTTTCGCTCCTGGATCCGACTTTTTGTATGCGACCCCCGGTGCGCTGGTGGAAGTGAATGGGGTAAGATCGGAACCTTTCGTATTGTCTCGCTCCATTCGTCAAGGTTGTCCGCTTTCGCCTATGCTTTACGTTCTTGCGTTGGAACCTTTTCCGTTAAAGGCGAATCCGGTCCTGCGCGGAATTTCCCTGCCTGGGGCTACCACCTCGGCCAGGTATTCTGCCTATGCTGACGACGTTTCGGTTCTTGTGTCGAGTAGAGCCGAGATTAACGAAGTTCTCAAAGAAATCAGTGGTTATGAGATGGTGACAGGGGCCAAGATCAACCGCGATAAGTCTGTTGACTTGCAGTTGGGCGCGTGGAAGGGAGTTTCTCTTCCCGGACCTTTCCTCTAGACGGATGGGCCGATCAAGATACTCGGCGTCTGGTTCGGTCCTGATCTCCAGTTGGAAATGAATTGGTCGGAGGTACAAGGGAAGAGCGAGATCGCAATTAATTTGTGGTCTCGGAGAATTTTTCCCTGAAGGGAAGGGCGGAAGTATGTGTTTCACATATCTACCCAATTCTCCTTTACCGACTCTCTGTACTTCCACTTCCGTATGCCACACTAATTTTATTAGTAAGACTCTTGTTCTCTTTCTTGTGGAGAGGCAAAGCCGCTATGGTATCTCAGGAGATCTGTTGCCTTCATCCATCTGAAGGCGGTCTGGGTATGCCCAGCATTGAGATTCGTCAATATATGCTTCGCATCGGGTTCCTAGATCGAATGTGTCGCGAATCGGATGAGGCGGGGCGCCTTTTGGAAAGAAGACGTCCGTAAAAATTTCCCATCCCTGAGAAGTGTGCACTCGTGCGAGGAGGAGGCCCACCGTTTACCCTGAGCCGAATGCTCCTTCTACCGTGAATGTCGTCTTGCTCTGAAACACCTCTTACGGGCATCGGATGGCCTCTCCAACGTCCAGGCGTTGTCTCGTAGGGCATTATATCAAGTGTTAGTTAGTGGGGCCATTCAAGATGATCTGATTGACGAGCTCGGTCTTACGAAGCAGGAGGCTCGCTCGATATGGCCTTGGGCGCCTGGGTTGAAATGCCTCAATAATGATGAGGCATCACTCACCTGGCTGGTGATTCGTGAAGCCCTCTGGGTCGGCAAAAGACTTTGTTCAGCAGGCTTGGAGAAATATCTAAACTGTCGTCGCGCTGTGGGGAAGTCGAGACCATTGGTCACGCCTTTTTTTCAGTGCAAGTTAGTGCCATTGTGCAGGTTTGTTGAAGGCCTCATGGTTCGTATGCTTCAGTATTTTCAGTTCTCTGGTGGATGCGGGACACCTTTCGTTTGGAGGGTGTGTTTTTTTTTTTTTTTGTTATTGTGTCTGAATCAGTGCGTGCCTGTGTGTGTGGTTGGGAGGGATGATTGTTTTTCTATATTTCTAAAGTCCTGTGTCGATTTCATCCAGTTAATTGATTTTACTGTCACATTTAGGGTTTGTGGGGGGTTTTATTACTAACATGATTTTGTTTAGTTTCATGTAAATAATTTTATGTCATATTGTATATATTCATTGGGTTCCTTTTTTAACTTGTTATATTTTATTCCCCACCTCCACAGACATTATTTGTACATATGGGGTTAATTAGGATTCTCATTGAGACAATGAGGTATTTTGGTGATTGTAGTAAGAAAGGTAATTATGAATGTAATGTTTTGGTGGTAGGATTATTGTCTCGTATGTTTGGGTCAGTGGTTGTGGCTAGCTAAGTTTAAATTAAGACAAATGATGACTGTCCTTTTTCCCCAACCCCTCTTTTGGCCTAGTGCCACATTTACTGTAAATATGGTAATAAATATCGGTAGCTGTATTAAGTTGAATAAAGCTTTTCTAAGTTTATTCACTTTGGGTTATTCATTACAATTTATTCAACTTAAAATAATGGAATGATACCTCAAGCCTCACTGCCTGGAACTCTATACGTCAGACCCTGACTCTAGTGACAAATGGCAACATTGGAGGGATATGTTCGAGGGATTTCTTTCGGAGCTGCAGTCTTCTTCTACGTCGGCACTGACTGGCTCACAGAAATTAACCCTCTTATTACACGATGTTTCCACTCCCATTTATAAGTGTTTGTCCAGGTGTCAAAATTACGATACTGCTATAAGCACTCTGGATGATATGTTCATTAAGAAGAAAAACTCCATTTTTGCAAGATACTTACTTGCTACTTGGCGTCAAGAGACTGAAGAAAGTCTAGAGCTGTATCTACAAAACCTGAAAATATTAAGTCGCGACAGTGATTTTACTGCCCTGACAGCAAGCCAAGCCAGGGATATCTCAATAAGAGATGCCTTCATCAGTGGAGTACGGTCTAACCAAATCAGACAAAGGATGCTCAAAACAAGGACTTGGATCTGGCTACCGCCACTTAACTAACCCTTTATTGGACATGGCCCAGAAACAATCAGATCTCTATTCGCAACCTGATTTTTTTCAGGGGCTACTATTCTTGCCCATTCTCATTCCCAACAAATTCCCATCTCAAATTCACAACATTGTGACCCCCAGGATAAGGATTCTTCAAATACTATTGAACAACCCATTACTATCGCTTCAGCTGAGATTAAGTGCTACTTCTGCGGCCTTTGTAAACACGCTCGTTCATCCTGCTCGGCTCAAAACAGTAGATGTCATGGACGTGGCAAGCAGAGACATTTTTTAAAGGTTTGTCGGTCGGCCCCTTTACAGAAAACCCATTTAGCCACCACCCTAACTGTCTCTCCCAAATGCCTCTCTAAAACAATTGTGCCGGCCAGAGTGAATGGACTAAATCTCCACGCTCTTATTGATACGGGGAGTTCTGAAAATTTTATCGATGCAAATATCGTGGAAAGAAACAAATGGAAAATCTTTTCCTATTCTAATCAAATATCGATGGCCACTTCGTCCTTATCCTGCCGTGTAATCGGATTC